CCTTCTGACTTCTTTCAGTATAATTCCTTCACCATACCTTGCTGTATTAATAGATCATTTGCCGAACTCAGCCATAATTCGAAATTCACAGTTTCATTGAACTTGACCACATTGAATTTCGTAGAAAATCCCCAAACAACGTAAACATGGTTTTGATACTAGTTGTTGTACAAAATGTGAACAAGAAAATCTGAAAGAAGAAAAAGAACAATAAGCACAAAAAAATTTAAGTGCTTCGACAATGTGCACTTGTCCATTTTTATATGAGTTATTGAATCAATAGATTGCCATATTATTCACATAGCTCTTTATTTGGATTAGAATCTTAATGAACATTGAAACTGCCAGTCAATAAGTTGTTTGCAATAATAAATTCCTTTATTCCATGGGGTATACTTAGGGCATGTTTGACATGACTTTTGCTTTTGCTTTTGCTTCATGTAGAATAACTTTTGGACAAGACACCTTAATTTTTGTTTGGGAATTAATTTTTAAAAAAGTTTGCTATTCTGAAAGTATGTTTAGAGAAATCAACATTAACTCTTGTAACTAGAAGAAACACTTTCATAAAATTAACTAAACGGGTTCAAAAGCAGCTTTTGAGTCTTAAAAGCTCATTTTGACTTTTCAAAAGCCATGTCAGACGCACTCTAGTTTGAGAAGGGATTTGATATGTCAACCATTGTTAAGTTTAAGGACTTCCAAGTAAGTGAAATTCACTAGATCTTTAGGATAACTCTTTTAATGGACCAAAGATCAAGGGTTTTCACGTGAAATTCACTAGATCTTTAGCATCTGTCAGCACACAACTACAGGCAACATTAAGAAACTCGGAAAGTTCAGCATCATAACCTTTTCCTACCAAGAACTGATCAATTGCATCCTGAAGTTTATAGGTTCCAGAGAGCTGGAAAATCCAATCCACTATATTACCCTTAAATCTTTCGGGGTCTTCAGCCACCTTGGTCGGTCTCTCACCTGTTACTAACTCAAGAAGCATGACCCCAAAACTGTAAACATCCCCTTTTGGAGTGGCCAGCAATGTTCTAAAATACTCTGGAGCAACATATCCCACGTTCCCAAATTCACCGTTTACACGAGTACCTAAATGAGCTCCGATGGAATTCATGAGACTAGCAAGTCCAGAATATAATATTTTGGGTTCGCAATCAACATCCAGTAAGATGCAGTTGGAACTTATGTTTCGGTGGATAATATGAGGATTGCAGATGTGGTGTAGCCACGCTAATCCTTTCGCTGTCCCAATTGCAATTTTGAGCCTTAAAAGCCAATCCATAGGTTCGTTCCCGTCTTTCAAGTGTAGTTTATCATGGAGGCTGCCGTTGGACATGTGCTTGTACACTAAAAGTCTCTCCTCCTGAGTCGTGCAGAATCCTAGAAGTGGAACCAAGTTGTAGCCATCTTAGACGAAAATTTGCTGTTTGAGTATCGAGTACCCTGCAATCTCTTCACGTTGAGGCAGGTGCCATCTTCAAGTACTGCCTTGTATATTGTCCCAGTTCTTCCTAACCCAATTATATTCCCTTTACTGAAGTCATTAGTCACCTTCATGAGAACGCTCAATTTAATTTCAGAAATTGAGTTCTCAAACATCGAAAACTGAAATCAGGAAAACGACTATTTGTGATTCCTTGCAAGGAAAATATAATTACGAGAAGAAAAATTCATGTAGCTAGGAAGCGACACCAAAAGTATGAAATACAGCAAAATAATTTAGGGAAATATGCAGTCCTTAAATTTTGACAAATAAAGCACACCGCTCCCCAATGTGATTTATCATTTTTGGTGTTAAGGTTCCTAAAATTCAATTTTTGGTGCACATTGGTCAATGGGGAGGAAACTATCAAGTATTCCTATTCCATCACATAGTCACGTACCTTGCTCACGATAACATGTTTAAGGGTTATTTTTGCCCCCCGCCTTTTTTTGATTGTTACGAGGGAAAAATAACACTCAAGATTTAAAATGAAAAATATGACCGTTATTGAGCCACCTTATTATCTCATTAAAATAAAAAATGTGACCATTATCCATCATATCAACATTTAAATTCAAATTTTCTATATCTTGTGTCGGCCCCAATGACGACTATATTTTCCATTTTCATTCTACAATAATTTGGCTCAAACAGGGGTAAAACGTAAATGTATCTTGCCTTGATGGCTTTGGCATTCTTGATACTCTTTGCCCATTTGTTGCCCATAGGACCTTCTTCCCTCTTCTTTCTTCTTTCTGGACGCCTTACACAAATAGAAGAACATGCCTATCCAAATGCCAATTCCAACAGCGGAGCCTGCAAAAGTCGCCCCAACAATGGCTGCAATATTGGTTTTCTTTGAAGAATCTCGGCAAGGAGGCAAAGGATTGCCACATAGTCCTGCATTATTCACATAACTCTCCGCCGGAATAAAAGCATTACTGAACGTTGGAATTGGCCCAGTCAAGTTGTTGTTAGACACGTTAAATGTCTCCATTCGAGAGAGTAGACCAATTTGAGCAGGGATTTGTCCAGACAAATTGTTGTTGGCAAGTATAAGGATATTAAAGTGCAATTCCCAAGCTTCACAGGGATCTCTCCGGATAACTGGTTGGACGAGAGATCAATGCTTGTTACATATACAAGTAACATAGAGATATTACTTGGAATATTTCCATAAATCTTGTTATTAGAAAGATCTAAACCTGTCAGGGATGAACAACCTGCAACACCAAGAGGAAACTCGCCCTTAAGTTCCATATCCCCAAGCTTAATATTCAAGACCTTGTTCTCGTCTGGATGCCAACAATCGATTCCAATAAAAGAACATATAAAACCTGCAACACCAAGAGGAAACTTGCCCTTAAGTCCCATATTCCCAAGCTTAGTTGTAGCGACCGAGAACTTTTAAATAATATAAAATTAATTCTCGAAAAACGTTTCGCTCGACTTTAACCCTAATTTTTAAGAAATAGCACGTTCGTCTAGCCGTTATAAATGAATT